TATTAATTAGTTTTTTTAATAAATAATTTAAAGCCTTATATCTTAATTAATTTTAATTATAATACTTAATTATTAAAGCCTTTTATTACTATATAAATAATATATTACTAATATAAGGGTATTTAAGTAGCTTTAATTCCCTTATAGGTATTTTAAATTTATTCTTAATAAGGCTCTTAAGGAAAAGCTTCCCCTAGGGGTTCTCTTATAACCTCTTTAATAAGGGGAATAATATCTTTTTATTAAAGGCTTAAAGATATTTAACTTATATTTTCTCCTAGCCTTATTATTAACCTAAGACTAATTTTAAATATATTTTACCTTATTAATAATATCTCTAGCTTTATTTAAGGGCTATTTAATTTACTTAAGCTCTCTTTTAACCCTTAGTATTAAATAATAAAAGAAATAATAAATAATACTTTTATTTTTTTCTTATTTTATTAATAATATATTATAAAAAGTATATTATTATATAAAATATTTTAAGAGAGTTTTTTCTTTCCCTTATATAATAATTATAAATTTATCTCTTATTTATTATTTTTATAATTTTAAATTAATATATTATCTCTATATAAATATAAAATATTTTTCTTAAGAAAAGGGATTTATTAATAAGTCTATAATATATATCTTTTATTTTATTTAAAAGATATAATTAAGCTTAATTATAGATTATTTAATTTATTATTAGGCTATTATATTAAGCCTTATTTAATTATTAGCTTTAATAGCCTTAATCTAATTATTAACCTTAATTATATTAATATATTTAGTTAAATACTTATAGTTATATATTAAAGGCTTTTTATAGTCCTTTTAATAAATTAATATTAAGTAATTAATAAATTATGTTGATGTCTAATTTTATTATAATAATTTATCTAAGATTACTTATTATTATTTTTATTTAATTTATTAATAATATTATTATTTTTTTCTTTATAACTTATATAATCTCCCTAAGAATAATAAGCTTCCTAAGGATTTTAATAATAAACTTATTTTTTTTTAAAATTATATAATATATATTTTTCCCTAGGTATTATATATAATATAGGTAATATATATTCCTTAAAGGGTATTATAGCTAAGATATAAGCCCTTAGTTATTATTACTTATTTCTAAGTAAATAAATAATCTCTTTTAATTACCTTAATAAATAGCCTTTATATTCTTATAGAGTTATTAAAAAGGTATTTATAAGAGGGGTTATAATTTATTTTCTAATTTCTTAGATTAGCTATTTAAGGTCTTTTATATTTATATAACTTATAGCCCTTAGTCTTATATTTATATTAATAAGTAATATAATTATTTATTTCTCTTATTATAGCCTTATTAAGTTATTTTTATTACCTTAGCGCTAAGTTATTAGCTATTATATAATAGGGGTATTTTTATTAAACCTATCTATCTTAATAATATATTAATTTTTTATTTTAATAGAAATTAAAGAATTATAAAGGTATAAGCCTAATAGGTATAATTAGGATAATATTAAAAATAAAAAGATAAGTTTTATATATTAATATAACTTTAATTTATTAAAGCCTCTATAAGCCTTTAGCGAGAAAAGTTTTATATAGCCTAAGGCCTATAAAATAATCTAAGGATTCTTTAACCTACCGGCGATAGCTAGTATAGCTTAAATACTCTTATAAATAAGTAATTAATTAGTTATAGCTTTTATATTATAAAGCTAGGGGGAAAATCCTTATAAATCTAAGTTAAGAATAAAATAAATAAAGATCTCTTCCTTTAGATTAGATAGCTTATATAATTTAGGGATAATATTAGCTTAGGCTTAGATACTAGTACATTAGTTATAGAGTATATTATAGCAAACTTAATAGATCTTTATAATATATTAAAGGCTAAGTTTTAAGTTATTTTAATAGGCTTAGAGGGCTAAAAGAATTCTAGCTTTATTATTTAATTAAGATATTTTAATATATAGAGAATTAATTAATTAAATAGTAATAATATAGGTTAAGGGATTCTTAACTAGTTTACTTATTTAATTAGCTCGCTTATTAAGTATAATACTAAATATAACTAATATTACCCTTTTAAGGCTATATAATATAATCTAATACTAATATAAACTAATATAATTAATTATCTCTTAGAATTACCCTCTTATTATGCTCTTAATATATAATATTTATAAAAGTTCTTAAGGAATAAACTAGTTATATAGGTTTATATTAGTATTAAATTATATTATATTACCTTAAAGGGTAATATAAGTTATATCTAGTAATATACTTAAAGGTATTAAATATAATTAAGTTATATTAATAGCTAAGGTAGCTAATATATAAGAAAATATAAAGAAATATATCTTATATACTTATTAGTCCTAATTAGGAATAATTATAAAGAGGAATAATATTATTCTTAGCTCTTATTATTCCTAGAATAATATCATACTAGCATATTATTAGTCCTAGCCTAATAGGTATTAATACTTAGGATTTATAGAGCCTATATAATATAACCACGAGGCCCGTAACACATGTGACGGGGACTATGTCAGGCTGTAATATTTATAGTAAGTAAAATAATACATGACGGGGGACATATCAGGCCGTAATACCCTCCGAATGCACTGCCCCCTCTGAATACATTGCCCCCTTTGCTATAAAATTCCCTATTATCCTCTAGAAACCGCGTTTAGCGTCTTGCCTATTCTTTTTCTACTCCAATTATTCTCTATGAGTGGTTCGACCGATCCTCTACTTAACTCGACGGATCCCAGCCGCCTTGTAGGCTGGGTTCCCGGGGAAGCCAATCGTGGAACCTGGTCAATTATATCATCTTGCTTCTTCACCATTCTTATTTGCACATGGACTGCCATCCACCCTCGCGTCCATGTTTCACGCCGAATTCGCCATGCACACAAGTTCTATCAGCTTGTTAAGGCTCTTCTGGCACCTGAGATGGTCTGTCTTGAATCACTACAAGAATTCCTCCAGGCTCGGAAAGCAGTCCGGCGGTGCGCAAAAGCCACCAATGGAGAATTCCGAACTGTCCACGGCTTTTATGTTTGCATGATGGACGTCAGGTACAATGACGGGGATAGTGGAGGCTATCGCACCCTTTGGCCGGGACAGTATGCCTGGCTCTTGAACAACGGGCTCGTTTCGTGGGACAATCACAAGAGCTGGAGCCTGTCAAGAGAGGACATTGAGGACAAGAACAAAGCCGACGGGCTTGTCAAGGTGGCTGCCCTCCTTCAAGTCATTTGGTTCACCCTCCAGTGCATCGTTCGATCAGCAAATCATCTCCCCTTGGCTGCGTTGGAGATAATGACGCTGGCCTACGTGTTCAACGCCCTTGTCACCTACGCATTCTGGTGGGAGAAGCCCAAGGACATTGCCACTGCCGCATTTGTTGATCTGCCTGAAATGACTCCCCTCCAAAAGGAGAAGTTCGAAGGCCTCGCGATGGAAGATACTTGCGATGTATCTGACCCCAATCAGAAACAGAGTAATTCCATTGCTTGGTACGTGGTCCCGCGAGACTGCCGCGACGACGAAGTTTTGGTCATGGCCCAGGAAGAGCATGAGATGAATGAGCCATATTTGTCGTCGCGAGATGGCAATCAGTCAACCAAGGATCTCATTGTGTCCCAGGTCGAAGACACCAACGTCATCACTGAGTGGGATGCAAGCCTTTACGTGACAAGGTACTGGCCTCTATTGTGTCTTCTTGGTGCCTCTTTCGGCGCCCTCCACTTGATCTCATGGGTTTCTGTCTTTCCATCCGAAGTGGAGCTCTGGTTGTGGCGCGTCAGTGCTCTCATCTCTGTCGTTACAGCTGTTCTTTGCATGCAGTTTCGCAAGATGAGCTTCACTTGGGAAGGCCCTCTGACAATCATCAAAGTCAGCAGTCCTTTCCTGTATCTTGTGAGTAGATTAATCATGGCCGTTGAGACTTTTGCATGCTTGCGGGCCATGGAGGCCTCAACTTATGAGGTTGTCAATATTTCGAATTACTGGTTTCATGTTTCGTAAGCTTTCTTGATTTTTGGTTAGAAGGAAGGGATCCGGCATGGAATGCCCGCAATGATTTATAAGAATCTTACGCTAGATTATGATTTACGACTTTATAATAGCCTTTTCTCAAATGGATCTGTTATTTCTTCTTCGATTAATGATCTTCGCGGTTAAGGAATACAATCCAACTTGCAACTCTCGGGCGAACGCAGGCCCAGGCCCCTGCCTGTGAGAGGTATGTTTATCACTAGAAGGGGCAAGATAGGCTCTCTTGTTGCCCAGGATATCTTTCTTCCTTTGGCGTGGCCATTATCTACCAAAGGGGGGAAATTCTAACACAGATTAGTAAAGATATCTAGCCTCTGTGGTATTTCAAACAAACAGGTCCCTGTCAAATCTCATCTCTTCACTTCTACTCGGATTTAGAGGCATTAAAAGGGGCTCCCTCCCTCTACCTAGCTGGTGGGCGGTGGTGATGATGGAATCCCATCTAAGTTGAAAATGATCGCCCTCCCTCCCCTGGTCATCTATTTTCAAGGGGAATGAGTCTTTTACAGGACTCCGTCCCTAATGGTCTATTCGAAGGACACATCACACTCTGCGCTTCCCAACCGCCCTTGATTAGAAATAGCCGTGTTGTGGAGAGGACATTGACATAAGGCGCAAATGCATGGATCGCTCAAAGACTCCTCGCCATGCCCATATCCCGAAATTCGTCAATCTCCCACAGCCACAACCGAAAACATCCATGAAATCTAGGTATAAATGCCGACGATGTCATCTCCAGGCTTGGCAACGATGCCGATGTTCCGCCTCGCGCCGCGTAAGTAGCGGGAAACAAGGTTTCATGTCAAGTGGACCTCTCACCTCAAACGCTGACAATTTCTCTCGATTTTCTTTACCAATGCGCTCATTGGTCTATAAATCCGGGGTGGATGAGCTCTTGTTGCCTCCCTTGTCCATGTTCCGCGTCATTAAGCCTCGGTCTATATATTAGCCTCCCACTTCCCGGCGGTGGCTGGCTCGAGTGTCTCGGGAATGTAGATGGCTTCGCATGGCGGCCGAGTCATCAGGGAACTTACAATCTATGCTTGTTTCATTGAGCCGCGTAATTGTGACGAAGCGAATCAAGAATGAGATATTTGGATTATGCGTCATGTCTTATTGGTACGTCGAAGTGCAATATAAAATGGCGGACCTTCAGCTGTGACAGATGGTGAAGACAAGCAAAGCATCACAGTCTCTTCACACACTCCAATACAACAAGGCCAACCTCACTATCCTCAACATGGCTCGTCTTACCTCTCTTCTCGCCATCGGCCTTGGCCTCTGCAGTTCCGTCATGAGCCATCCCGGAGAGGCTCACGATCCAAAGCACATGGCCAGGGAGATTCACGCCCGAAATAACATGGCAGCCATTGGTCGACGATCCTTGGAATCGTGCTCAGGCTCTACCGCTGCTCAAGCGCTAAAGGCTCGCTCGATCCAGCGACGCACGAGTCGAGTTCGTGCTCTACGGGCGAAAAGGGGCATCACTACTCGTACGAAACGAATCAGCCACCATGAGAAAAGCACGATGACTAATTGAATGTTTAGCTTCCAAGAAGTACCGCCGCGATACCGATGACCTGACCAGCTGGGAGGATGTCAACCACAACATGACTGGCTCGGTTTCATACGACATGTTCACACCATTGGCAGACATCTTCGACGCCAACTCCAGCTGCATTCTGTCCCCCGAGATCACTGCTGGTCCTTACTATGTCGTCGGAGAGTTTCTCAGATCCAATGTTATCGAGTCTGAATACTGTGACGGAGTTCCACTCTTTCTCGAGGTCCAGTATGTCGACGTGGCGAGCTGCCAACCTGTCCCTGTCGCCGCTGTTGACATCTGGAACGCCAATGCAACTGGAGTCTACTCTGGCATTAGCGTTTCGGGCAACGAAGCCGCCGGCGGTGTCAACAGCACATACCTTCGAGGTGTCCAAATCACCGACCACGACGGTGTGGTTCAGTTTGAAACCATCTTCCCTGGTCACTACCAGGGCCGAGCAACACACACTCACCTCCTCACTCACACCAACGCGACAGTCATGCCCAACGGCACGATCTCCGTCTGGGACGCACCCGTTTCCCATATCGGTCAGCTCTTCTGGCCCGAGACGTTGAGGTCGGCTGTCGAGGCGACATATCCCTACAACACCAACACTCAAGATGTCACAAGCAACGAGGAGGACATGTGGTCAGTCCTGCAGGCCGACGCGTCTTTTGATCCCTTCCCTCAGTATGTGTATCTTGGCGACAAGGTTGAAGACGGTATCTTTGCATGGATCCAAATTGGAGTCAACGCCTCCGTGGACTACTCAACTGATGACTACTATGGCGTTGCCGGATATCTGGGTGAGGATGGAGGCCATGCCTTGGATAGTGGAATCGGCGGAGGTGGTGATGGTGGTGAGGGCGGCGGTGCTGGCGGCCCTCCCAGCGGAGCTCAAAGCGGCATGATGCCGACTGGAACCATGGCTCCTTAAGAAACGGAGTTGATACAAACGACTGGTACTTCTTCAAGTCATGGAGAACAATGGCTCACAAGTGACAAAAGAGGATTTAGCAATGTGTTTCCAACTGTAAATAGATCGTCCTTCAGATAGCATCATCACTCCCACATATGAAACCCTATCTTCGCTCCCTTTCTAAACGCCATGTGCTTCTTATATATAATCCAATCAGTTAGCCAAACCCAAAGCCTTCCATCGTCGTACAACTTCAGTCTTCTGTTCAGGGGTAGCGTTTCTCCAATCATTAATGCCTTGTCTCAACCGGATCAACAAGATCTCTGCCTTGAGCTTCGTCAAATGATGTTTGTGAAGTTCTTTCTCAAGGCCCTTCAGTGTGTAACCTGGAAGTCCGAAAAACGCTAGTTCAAAGTCAGCTTGTCAGTTCCAATTATAGGTAGAGAATGGCGGAGGTACTCACCTGAGCCCAAGTTGCTGAAGAATCCGAGTCCACCGCGGGCTATTCCCCTGCCCAAACCTTTAATACCCCTCTGTTTTGAATCCTCGTAGGGCTTTTTTACGAGCCCACTAAAAGCATCCCAGGTCCCCAAGGAGAACTCCTTGCCAGCTGTCTTGATCCCACTGCCCAAGCCTGTGATTTCGTCACGGCGGCGGACGTCCACACCGGCCCACCCGTACGACGGGACATTGTGGAACCCATTGGCGACGTTATAGAAGAATGCCACGGGAGCCTTGGCGGCAGCCTTGGCGAGGTCACAGGCATACCTCCCTGTGACACGTGTAACGTAGTAGCCACGCCCGTAACGTCCTTGTTCGTGGGACTTCCAGGCTTTTTTGTGTTTCTGGTGGATAGAAGCTGCTGGTCTGACAATGGCGGCGGATGGGTAGGCAGTGCAAAGTGATTTTTCAGCCATCTTCTGTGCAACGACCCTCATGTCGGTTGGCGTCAAAGAATCCGGTCCAACAACGTCCCCTAGGACGCCAATGTGGGTTTCCTCGTCTCCTGGGAGTGGAAAGTTTTTGCCTCCAACAGAACTGCGTCGCCTTGGCCTTACCGGAGTTGGTGCCTTCAAACGCTTTGAGTAGTCGGCAGTGGCAGTACCAACAGCTGAGACAAAACCTGAAGCGGCAGCTATGGCACCAATGACGGGATGCTCGGCGCCCTCATCGACGTACCAGTGTTTGTGGCGAAGAGGTTTGATATCTTCCGGCGTCATCAGTCCCTTATCGACTAGGCAAGAGGCTGCGAAACCGCTCAGATGGGCTCCTGACTTCCGATGGAGCCAGGTGGCCAGTCGTTCGGGGCATATATCGCAGCGCATGTTATCCATCTCCAAGCGGTCTTGAATGTCCATGGCTGCGTACCCTGCTCCATCCTCTTCCTCGATATTCAACGCCATCTCCATGGCTACGTCTTGGACCTCTGGCTTGAGTGCAAATGTGATGCTCTCTGCCAGGATCTCAGCCGTCAGGTCCTTGAATGGTACAGACGTCGGCCCGGCTCCGGCCCGTGCCATCATCTGACCCCAAAACGGCTGGTCACCGAAGAATGGTACTATCACAGTCGGTCGACCGGCCGCGATGCCGGCAGCTGTCGTACCAGCACCACCGTGATGGACGACAGCAGAAACGCGTTTGAAAAGCCAGTCGTGGGGACAGTTCCCAATGAGGTACACGTTTTCAGGGACGTCCCCAGTACCAACACCTCCCCAGCCCTTGGATACGATGGCCCGAACGCCAGCAATCTTGACGGCTTGGAATATCATCCGTGTGAGCGCTTGCGGGTCATCAACGACAATAGATCCAAATCCGATATAGATTGGAGCAGGTCCACCGTTCAGAAAATCGACCAAGTCCTGTGGAGGCGTGTATGAATTAGCCAAAGGCAAGAAAGAAAATCCAGTGATGTTGAGGTGAGATTCCCAATCTGTTGGCTTTGGTATCAAAGACTCTGACCAGAGATAGCTGTAAGGGACTCGGAGCCTGGGCAGAAGTTGAAATCCCCACATCGGACTGACGGGGTCAAGATGTAATGTTTGAGCGCGAAACTTGTTGATCAAGTCTCCCAAGCTGCCAGTTCTTGTTAGTACATCGGCTCCAGTATACGGGGCTGCTGAATCATAGATACTGAACCTACCCTTGCCAAGTCAAAAGCTCCATCATCATGAAAGAGAGATAATTTGCTGTGCTCTTATCGGCCTCGCCATAGCTCATAGCAGCCAAGGGATGAGGAAACGCCTTGGTTGGTGACCACGGCATTGTGAAGACCATATGTAGCGGAATGCCCAGCTTCTCGGCACAATGGATATGTGCCATCGACGGTGGGTTTGCTATTATAGCATCAGCGATGAAGAGATCATCGGCGTTTTTCACATCTGCAGCCGTCACCCGCTCTCCCATTCCATCGCCAGCCTCGATGCAACTTCGCCAAGCTCCATCGATAATCTCCGACATTTCCCTCCTCCGCTTTCCCACATCACCGCCTCTTAGACTTTCTCGGCTTGGCAGGAGTCCGGGGTTCTTGACCATGTAGGCCATGAGAGCCTCAGGGTCGCCACCGATGCTGAAAAACTCAACTCCTTGAGCCTCGACAAAGTCCTTGAAGACGGGATGAGTGCAGATGCGCACACGATGGCCGTATGGCGGTTTCATGAGCAGCTGAGCGATAGGGATAAATGGCTGAACATCGCCTCGTGAACCGACAATGTGAATGGCGATATTGAGACGCGGTCCCGCTGCAGGCTTCTCCACGTCTGCGAGGACCTCGAAGCTCTTCGTCCTCCTCGGCTTGGGCGGTTCCAGGTGTTCCAAGCTCGGAAGCTCGCCAGCAAATGAGCTTCGGAAGCGATCGCACCATATCGCCAGGGCTTCCGGATTGTCGTGGAACTGCACCTTGACGCGTCCGTCGGAAATGACGTCGCTGGATGGGCCGTGATGCATGTTGGATTCGTCAAGCGCGATGTGGCCGGGGCCACGCGACACGACGCGATTGAGGGCCATCTTGAGGCAGCCACGATCGCAGAAATTGGTATCAACAGAGGAGCTGACGCAAATTCTGGTCTCGGGAGCAGCGGTTGTTCTTGAAGATTGCTGATTTCAAGACCGGCATCATTGCTAGTGCTTAGCGCAAAGTTTTATGGGCGCGACCGTGGCCCGAGGCAGCCCAGGCTTGCATAATCTCACTGTGCAGCTGCATTCATCGAGGCCCGACACCAACATGAAGTCATAGCGGGGCACTTGATTTAGTGCTGCTTAGCCCAAACTCAACAGACATTCGCAATTTGCCTCCACGGGTTTTCCCATGTGGCTTTTGGTTTCTCTCGTCCAATGATTTAGATGCTCAAGTTATAAATACCAGGAAATTGGAACTCATTAGGTTTGCAACCTATCTCGTTGACCTCAATAGGGTTCAGAGAAATAGGTACCTATTCAGCTCTCTAGTTGCCCTGAACCCTCTTCTGAATATCTGCAACATTCCTATGGCCGCGCTCCTTAAGTGTCTCATATGCCAATCTATGCACATGGATACTTTCCGAAAACAACGCTCGACGGTCATTCCAACCGCAAAGAGACCGAAGTTTTTGACTACCAACCCACTGGCTGAAGCTAAGAGCAAGATGCAACAGAGGGGGAAATGACGGCCCAGCTTCGCTGGCCGGTACGAACTCAACGCCATTCTTGAATCCATATTCCTTGGCGAGAGATGTCGCGACCTCCTTCAGAGTCTCGTAACGATATCCAGAGATATTGAAAGCCTGGCCGGCCACGGCAGATCGGTTACTATGTTCTGCAAGAGCAACATATGCCTCGGCACAGTCATCGACATGTGTTGCGTGCATAATACTGTTAGGGTCTCCAGGGACCCTCAGTGTCTCAGTGCCCTCTCTCTTCTGATCAGCCACAAAGTCGAATATGGCACCATAGTAACTACTCGAATATCCAAAGACGCTAGTTGGCCGAATAACTGCTGCATCAAAGAGGCTGGCATCGTCGAATATTCTGAGGCAGTTCGTCGTACGCTCCTTGAGCATTTCCGGCGCGTTCAAAGGCGAGTTTTCGTCATGAGGGGCAAGGCCAGGTGAGCCATCAAGACCCGTCGTGCCATAATCCTTGCAGCCAGACGACCAGAGTACTAACGGACGAGTACCATTCTGGTTACTTTCTTCGGCGAGTGCTCTGACACAAGTGACCACTTCCTCGAAGTGTGCAGCGTAGCCAGTGACCTTTTCGGTGCAGCTGACAATGACATCGAAGGTATTGACTTGTTCGAAAAGGGTTTTCAGAAACGCAAGGTCGGTGAATGTGCCAATCACCGGGATAGCTTCCGAAAGAATCAACTCCTCGGCAACCTCAGGTCTTCGTATAAGGCCAAATGTCTGCCATCCGGCGCGGACAAATGCACGGCAAACTGCGGAGCCGATGTACCCGTTTGCTCCGGTAACGATAACGTTTCGACGACGCCTGTCGCTCATTTTGCTCTTTGTGTTGTTATTGGCTTGACGTTGATCTAATATGACCCTGCAACCTGGGCACATAGCGCTCTATATAGAGGCTCAATTACAAGGGTTGCGATCCTCATCATGGTCCTTGTCGAATGATGGGTTCGGCAACGATAAGAATTTGTCAGCATGGAGCAATTCAAAAAGCTCAATTTGTAAGGTATGGCATCACAGACATTAGTAATATGTCTCCGTTGACGTTAAAGGGTATCGCGACGCAAGATTCCCTGAGACAGTGAGGTGGGTGTCATCCAGGTTGCATGTATAATCCTTGAGAGTAGCAGCCAGTTGATAGACAACCATCAGTCACCCTAATTCATTCTCAACACCATATAGTCCCTTGTCTCGTCTTTATCTGCGTCCCCCGTCCAGCAGCGGCGGTTTGGCTCTATTGGTAGGTCACAACACCTTTCTTCGCAAGACAGCAAGGCAGATTACTCAAAATATTTACCTTACGGCCAATGGAAACCGTTGACGCACACAAAAGATGCATGTCCGTACGTTACACCACATCGGAATATCTAAGGGTCAGGTTGACAGATGCATGGCGTAAACTTTGACACCGCTCTATTCCATCCAGACAGATATTCTACAAGACAAGACAGAGGAATCTTTCTCTCACAAGAACCTCTATTGATGATACCATCTATGCGATCGACGGTTCTCATGACCAAAACTCTCTCAAACGAAATTCGTCGAATCCCCTTCGAAATTCCAACGACTATGCCGATGATGCGCGCCTCACAATCAGCCAGTCAGCCAAGGAGCCGACATCCGAGCCATGGGATGAAATCTCCGATGTCATTGCAGATCCCGCCTTTCAGCTTTTCTTTTTTCAGGTGCCCATCATCGCGTCGCACGTGGTCAACCTCACCACTCAACGAGTCCCAAGCTGACAACCCCTCAGTACTTGCACATACCCTTAGGTGAAAATACGAGGATCGTCGGCCCTCCTTTCACTCTCTGTGATACCAGACCCTCGTATAATAGTGCGTGTTTGAGGAGGAATTACATCTGATCGCCACTGCAGATAGTCATCATGTGGCCTCACGGGTCATCATCGCCGCCGTTGAGGAATGGAGGAGGCGTCGCAGAGAACATATAAGACCGGTCAAGAAGCAGCCCATCCATCACAGCAGTACAAGCACGTCAATCATCAAGACACATGAAATAAAAACTATTCACGATGAAGCTGACCCTTTCTATCCTTCCTATCGCCATCTTCGCTAGCGTCCACGCCATGCCCAACCCCATCGAACGAGATGACGTCCAGACCGTCCATCTTACGTTCCACGGCGGCCCAGCATCCTACGAGATGACGTTCCCTGCCGACGGCAAGACTAGACAAACCAGTTCGTACTTCTGCATCTTACGGGTTGCCAAGTGTACTGACTCCCATGGTCCTTTGCAGATAGCGACATCAACGTCAACATCATCGACGCTCCAGACTACAATGCCTTCTCGCAGTGCACCTTCACCACTAATGGGGAAAAGACCCTCGTCCAGAGCATCGACAGTGACGGATCGCAGCACATCATTGTCGGCCCTCCCCAGGTCATAACCGCGGTGAGCTGCCAGGGCTTTTGTGTGCCTACATACGGTAAGCAGAGCCTCATCTACCAGCCAATATGCGAGTCGTCGGATCTAACATGGGTTGTGAACAGGCGAGTGCTACGACAGCAACGGGCAGCCCGTGGGACCTTGCTGTAACGGGTTCTGCGCTGCCAATCGTTGCCGACCCTGGTCCACGGCCACTTCCTCATCTTAGAGTGGGGGGACATGTCAAGTATGTGCAGATGCACATGATGAGGGGTGCGATGGACCGTTGGAAGTGTCGCAGAGTCAGCTGGGTCACTCTCCTTAAGACTTGAGACAAGGGTTGTGGAGGGCACGCGGGCTGCACGGAACACAGGCACTGCTACAGGCAACATCAAGATTGACTTGAATACAAGTATATAGCACATATGAAGGCACAAAACATTGCAGAGAATGTAGAGGGCAAATACACGAGGCCTTTGCTCCCTTTCCACAAAAGGAATAAGTCTCTCAGCACGCATCAGGATTTGCAAGCTGAAAGAGAAGACTGTGAGAGTGCAGCTTTAGCTAACGGCTAACATGCATTCATGAATAGCAAATGATGTTGAATTGCCAAGTTGGTGTCAATTATCCGCACATCACAATGATAGCCGTGCAAGGCATATCATCCTTCCACGAGACGAAAAGGCACGGCGGCACAGCAAGGACAAGGTCTCATCAATCGTTTCAATTCATCCAACTCCCAAAAAAATCCCATACAAGTACATGCTTTTAAGAAATCGTCAAGTCATATCTTTTATAAGATCCCGGAACTCCTTCAATGTAATAAATGACAGTGTACACTCCTCCAAAGCCCAACCATGAAAGGAGATGTCAATCGTGGTTACAGGATCGTGATGTAAATACGCAACCGATGTATTGGTGTTACGATAAGAAATAGTTTATCGATCGTGGCGATGGCGAGAGTCATGACGATGGCGAGACTTGTGATGAGCTGGGGCCCTGTCGGCCTGGCTCTGTGCGAGACTAACACCTTGCCGCATGAGGCTCTGTCTCGTGCTGTTAGGGTGCTTCTGGCCCATAAAACCATCTACCAGTGCAGCACCCAATGCGGCGGTAGCGACCTTGGCACCTTTAGGTCCAAGCCAGGGGCTGGGGTCGTGGCGAGACTTCATCGCGGCCTGGGCTCCTGCAGTGAGGGCAGTGCGGGCACCAGCCTGGACCAGAGGGTTCTGCCACCAGGCAGAGCGAGCCTGTGTGCTGGCAGGCATTGAGTTACGGCGACCAGATGGACCGCTCCGAGTCTTCTGTGTGGTGGGAGGTCGACCGCGAGATGAAGGTCGAGGGGGGCCTCGTCCCTTGTGACCCCTTGTCTGGGAGTGTGGGCGCCGATGACTTGCAGCCGCAGCGCCAGCTGCTCCTGCAGCTCCAGCTCCGGCCGCATAGTAACCAGCATGGTCATCTTCGTCATCAGAGTCCGGGCGTCGCAAAGAGCGGCCCCGTGGTCGTGACTTGGATCGAGGCGATGGTGGCCTAGCGGACCGAGAATGGCGAGGCGAGTCTGGATCGGGAGCCCATGTTCGAGGGCGTCGTTTCCGAGATTCGCCTGGAGGGCCCCGAGCGTATGGATCAGGTTCGTAGGGATCTGGCACGGGAGCGGCCCGCGCATCTCGGAATTCTTTATCGGGTCGTTGTTCTCGTTTCATGCGGATGGGGATCTCCCGCTCCCGTCCAGGGCGAGGCTCTCGGGGCGGGCGATATTCTCGAGGCGGTGGTTGTTCATAGCGGGGCTCCCGGTCGCGACGAGTTGATCGGGCCTTGCGGCGAGGTGAATCCGGAGGAGGTCCGAAAGGCGGAGGGCTAAGATCCCGTGCCCGGCGATCAGGTCCCGCACTTCGTCCGCGACGCTCCGGCTCATATTTTTGAGAGCGAGAACGGGGCTCGCGATGCCGGGAAGCCATCACGGGCTCATCGGGGTAGTATTGACTGGGACTGGGTCGCCGACGACGTCTCTCCGACTTGTGGCGGCGGGGCGGCGATCGGGGTGGTGATGGAGGGCCTGCCGTGTAGCGGCTTCGAGGAGGCATCGGTTCCATGTCATCGTAAGGATCGTAGGAGTTGACGGGTTCGGGGGGCGCAAAGTCGTCATCGTAACGTGATGGACCGGCTTGATGCCGTTGTGGGCGATGGTAGGCCATAGATGGAGCGGCCGTGAGGATTAACTTTGGCCGGTTGATGAATGCCCAGGGATGAGATGGTCAAAATGGGAAAAAGGAAGTTCAAGGCTTTTGTTGAAAGAGAAGAAAGGTTGGTCTCAGGTAGGATTCAAAGCCCAAGAAAAGACTAGCACAACTAGCTTACTTGAAGTGTAGATCAAACAGCGGGGAGGAGGCAAGAAAAGGATGTTGGGAGCAATCCTTCTTTATGTTAAGGCAAACAAGACAGGGGGCCCTTTACACAAACGGCATAACGCGACAAGCGCCCGTCAGTAAAGGAGGGGAGCAGGCTGGGCAAGGTCTGAGACCAAGAGATCATCAGAGCTCAACCTCTGGTCAGGACCGGCTCAATCGTCAACCGGTCGTGACTTGACCGTGAGTGAGCACGAGGTGGGAACCATCAATCATGGCGCGCGGAGGGTCCCGTCCCCCAGAGACCAAGGTGGCGGGGCTGTGCGCGCAGTAGGGATGCATAAATTGTGCGCGCATCATTAATAGTGGACAATTCTAAGCCGCGAAACCAGGAAACCAAGACGAGATATGGCGTAGAGGTGCAGCGCTGGAACTGAGAACCAGCCATCCAGCCTTCAGCATCGCAGGATTTCGTGGGGGACGGCCGATGCAGGGTCCTTGTGGCTGACGTCATGCGGGTCAAGTTTCGCATGGTTGGTCGACTGACGTCAACACCCCCAACCAAGAGCTGTGAGACGATGGCCAACAGCCGGAGCAAAAGGGGCATGGCCGGCTTAATGGCAGAGTCGACATCATCCAAAATTCTGCTGGCGTTGAAGTGACGGTTGTATCAGATGACGTTGGCGTGAGGGAGCCAACGGTCACAGACGCGCGTGAGCGCCCCTTTCTCTGGTTTGTTCCGTTTAGCAGAGTCTAGACTCCAGAAGCGGTTCTCTCCCAGACAGCCGTGACAACACTCGTAGACCACAAGAGCATCGCAACGACTGAAACAGCGCAAGCTGCAGATTTCGAACGTTCTATGTGACTCCCAAACAAGACAAAACACTGTCGCAGCACCTGGGGGATCAGCCTCTGATGGACCAGGGTTGCATGTCCTCATTCGGAGTTTTTGTCACGGGGTCGTCCTGCAATGCCAATCCTGCTACCCTGATCGCCTACCAACTTTAACTCAGACTTCCAAGGCGGGCAAGAGAAAGGCAGGGCTGTCCCCGTATCAGTAAGAAATGGTCTGGCGCTAACAAAGAAGGGGAACAAAGAGAGCAGCGGTGACAAGGATTGCGCGCTCACTCGGTTGGCGTCCGCATTTCTAAGAAGTTTGCTCTCCCAACGCTGAACATGCCCGGGAAAGGCGCCCTCATCTGACGGCTAATAGCATTTCCTGCGGTTATTTTCTCAATTAGACCGGGATCATTCGTACCCATCCTGGAATTTGCTGCCATTTTTGCGCACCAGGAGCCCCGAAAACATGGAGTGTTCTTCGTGGGGAACATGGAAAGTCATGGTGTTGCGGTGCAGAACAATACATGATTCTATCTATCCCATGGCAGTCAATTATTCATGGCCGGTCCCAAGCTGAGATAATTACGCCATGCCCAAAGCCTCACCTCAAAAGTGATTCCCGTCGCGCCAAGCCAACGAACCGTCTCCCGTCCGAGCGCGTTGTGGTAAGTAGGCTTCTTTGTCTGCCAGGCCATGCACTGAAAGAAGCCCTTTCTCTCTTTCACGTACTCTGTCATGAAAGACAGGACCCCCAAGGCGCAGACCCGAAATCCCTCAAAACCTTTGAGGATGCATGCCCACAGCGTTTCCTTTGACAAAGAGGAATGAGTATATTAACCGGCTGGATTCAACTCTTTCACCAACTCAAAGGTATGCGATACTCCTGCAGACCATCAAAAGACAACCCGATATCACATCCAAGAATCTTCCCCCTCCTTTGAAGATGCCACGCTTGATGAAGACGGACACACAATCCGGTAAGCACTCTGTCATGTATAAAAAGCCTGGATTGAAGGTCTGATGTGTGAGCCATAGGACCCCCAAGGCGCAGTGCGAGACTCCACGCACGACAACTCTCTATTGATCAGGCCTCATCACTTGAGCCTTGCCACAAACCACAGATCACATCCCGTGCTGAGAGTGCGTCGAGGCGGGCTGCTCTGTCGCAGGCAACTATACAACAGTTTGACGTCAACCAGCAGCCATCGCGGGCCACCAAGGTGGGCTAATCGTTCACTCCACGCAAGCCAATCCACTACTAATAGCTCGTTTAGAATACACGGCATCCAAGGCCTCTCAAACGCCCACACTGCTCGCTCTCAGAGGCCAAGGCCGAGTGTGAGGACCCAACCACCCTGCTGCGGGAACGAGACAACGGCAACAGTGAAAGAGAACACCAACCAAAACGGACACGGTTGACGCGTGAAGCCTTGGCTCTTTTCAACAAGATGGCAGAGGGTAAAGGTAAAAAGGCCTCTGCGCCAACCCCCTTGGAATCCACGGCCGAGTCGTCAACAGCAAGGACTACTTCGACAACCATGTCTGGGTTTGCCCTGCAGGCCTTTAGAAACGGCATTCTCGAGCCAGTTGATTCCAAGCCTCCGGTAAATCTAGATGATATACGAGAGCGATACACCCAGTCTCGCGCAACAGCATCACCCACCGAATCCATGTATCAGGGCTATGCCAGGAGAATTGAGAGAGCCCTTAATGAAGCGAGCGTGGTCTTTGAGAGCAACAGCCGGCTACTGAAGAGCTACTCGGATAAGAACTACAATCGAGCATTCAACAAGGCGTTCACGGGCTTTCCGAAAAACGCTGACTTCAATGACGGCCTGTCTGCTCCGCAGCCCGACTTCGTCGAAGGGCTTGGGGTGAAAGAGTTTCACCCGTTACCGATCAAGGACTATGTCGATGGAGCGGTTCTTCACAAGGACCACCCCCATTCCATAACATTGCCGCATTTGGCTGGAGAGTTCAAGGGGCCAGGAAAGAACCTGAGACACGCGAGGCTGCAGAGCGCCTATGATGGGGCGACTCTTGTTCATGGAAGGAATCAGGCCCTCGATTCCCTTGGGGAACCAGCAATCGCTGGTCATGCCAAGGTCACAACATTTACCACGGACGGCACCAATCTGAACTTATTTGCCCACTATGCCGCTCCATCAGAAGACGGCACAACTAAGTACCACCAGTATCCCATCAACTCGACGATCCTTACGAACTCTCTTCAAGATTTCAAGCAGGGTTATAGGCAGCTCAGGAACGCCCAGGACTGCGCAAGGGAAGAGTCCTATAAGCTTAGGGACCAGCTCAAGGAGCATTGGAAGGCCAGAAAATCCGAGCCTGCCCCCCTTCCTTCCATCGAAGACGAAGACGAAGATGATGGCCAAGTCATTGACCGGGAGCCCATCTCCCGGCCTACACCACCCATGCCATTCAGACCCAGCAGGCATAGCAAGGCGTCGGGGTCGCAGTCCTCACATTCCATCGAGGCCTCATCGCCGTCCGATGCGGATATTGCCAGTGGCCGCGGCTACCGGCGGACAAGGTTCCATCGCAATCGTCGAGGTCAAGCAAAGGAGTAGACCTTTTCGTAGGCAGATGATCTCACCGACCGCCGCTTTCACATCGATGGGGACGGACAGGTCCTCAGGCTGATCCCCCAACCCAAGGTAATCGTCAACCACATGAGGGGAGCAGCCTCCGCACAAGGTCGGTCGGTAACTTGGACTCTATCTGCCCAGGATATGTGTATCGAAATCTTGGATGGCCGTGACTGTATCGAGGTCCTGCTACTGCGAATTGAGATAGCAACACGGAAAGGGGAGGGGGAGCGCGTGCGAGTTTGTGAGCTGAGAACGTTGTACTATTAATAAGCCAGAGAAGACATTAGAGACAGAGCCAAATTGACTGAGTAGCAGCCTGATGCCGACAGCAATAATCGCCCGGAAGTATGAAAGCGTCTGTAGTAGTCCACCATTGAATCCATCTGCCTCAGCTTAGATGTTAGGCTTGTAGGTCGAGCTGTAAGGACCGGGAGCAAAACTGCCGGCGGCCGACGGTGGCTAGCAGCTGGCTGATTGTGGCTCAATGGGCCAAGAAGCAGTTCTTGTTGTGGAACTTGAAGTTGGCGCCGCGGAGTCATAAGTACTACATACAAAGGCGTCGAGAGCTGTTGCGTTAAGGGGGTGCAGACTGTGCAGCCTTTGTAAGATGGGCTATTTGCAGGGGTTCAAAATTTCCCCGCCATCCATCCACAGGTGAGGTTGCAGTTGCAGAGAACACACAGGTTGCAGGCATAATAAGTTGTGGTTGCGACGCCATCCACCTGCGGTCGTGATAGTTTCACGATGCTGGGGGAAGCGAGCATGGGCGCCTTGAAGGATTAGAAACACAAATACAGCCACGGGAAAAAGCCCTCGTGTGCGTTCATTGGAGTGACGGCAAACAGCAAGCGCCAGCAGCAATCCTCGCCACTTCTGCCACGAGGATATTCGCAGCTGCAAGCATGCGGTGGCGGTCACTGGACTTGTCCGAAACGTTGCTTCTTGTCGGCCGAAAGGCTGTCATCTCCGTGGCCTATCCATCTCTATTGGCCCTTGGCAAGACCATACTAGATCGTGTATATTTGTATTTCCTTCACTAAAACCTGTTAGCAAAATTGGGTGATAAAGATCTGGCTCGGAAGACGGCTTTTTTCTGGGCCCGTTATCGTCTCCGCGCTTATCGCCTTCAACCTTCCTAATGCGGCAACACCGACAAGGTCTTATCGCGAAACACGCACTGGCCAGAGCCGCGACCTGCGACCTTTCCTTGACACACGCACCGTGCGTGAGGGTAGGGTTTTAGCATCGCACGCGACACAATCAAATGCCAAATGCCAGCTCAGCTCAGCCCAGCCCAGCCCAGCTCATCGCTCGATCTATCAAACGCCTGCAGTCTCTGATATCGTGGCCCAGCCTTGCGGAGATCAGAGATGCCCGCCGACGGCTCATTACTCAATTGTTTGCTCTCGTCCGACCGGCCGGCGGGTATCTGCCCACTACTATGGATATCCTGGGGACGGATTGAGTAGCGCCTATCGCTATTAGCTTCTAGAAGGGGCCCCTCATTCTTCTGAAGGACGATTTTACCCGCTTCTCCGACTAGAGTTGCTCAGGTGAATCCACTCTCTGCGACGCCATGTCTCAGCTGGCGAGCTCAGTTCACCCGTGTCCAACATACCAACATAGCAAAAGGCACACAAGATCGATCCTACATCAGCTAGGACCCGCTCACCAGCGCTTTCTAAGCCTGCCCTCGAGTCACTTGCTCCCTAGTCGTACGAACAGAGATCTAAGCTGTCCCATAATCGGAGCCGCATCAAGCATCATGGAACAAGCGATGGATGGAGACGTTAGTCTGCGGGCGTGGCGCCACAAACCGCCACCTTGAAAAGGCCATCGAGCCAGTATCTCTCACACCGTTCGATGCGCATCAAAAGGGCCGTTCAGAGAGGAGGTAGAGCTGAGGAGGACAAGAACCTCGGCGCGCAAATCCAACAGTAATCTCGAGCCCTGTGACTGGATCGCCGTCCCACGAGTGGCGTCGCACCGCTATCCGCTATCTTCTGCCGACTCCACCATACCCGACAAGTGGTTGCGCATGGCGTCGCATGGCTTGAAGGGCTGGAGCGATATCCGGGCCACAGCGTGGGGAATACACAAGAGGCGACGACAATTTGGGACTGGGATATGAACAGGCTTCATCAAAATGGAGAAGAAAAAAAATTAGAGGATGGGAGCGAGGGGGGGAAAAACTGGGGAGAGCATGAAAAAAAATCGACTGAGATGAGGGCCTCGGTATATCCGCCCGATTCGTGCTTGCCTCTGGGCTGGGTCCTCATTAGCCGCGATCAAGAATTTGCCATCAGCAAATTTGATCCCTTCCTTTTCCTCTACTCTCATCTTCGAGAGTCCTCGTCTATCGCGATACCTTGCTTGTATCAGGCAATTCGTTGCTGTATCCATTGGCACCTTTGTCGAGGTTGATAGCCTCAGATTGTCTCTTACAGTACCTCCCCCGGTTCACTTTGTGCCCTCTTGGCCCAGGGTCTTGTCACGAAAAATTCGGCGCGCACACACGGGCTACGCCATCTTCCGGCGGACACAGGACGACACAAGATTCGCTGCCGTGTTCTATCTTGGCTATCTTCGAGTCTCGGTCATCGGAGCTTTCCTATCCCTATTGTTACCACCACTACTGTCAGCGTTGCTCAATAGTCTTGTGGCTTGCCTGGAACTTCGTCCCCAGGACCCTTGATCGCGCACAGTTCACTACTCCATCGATATCGAGTCGCCGTCTTCCCCAATACGGTACACTCGTCCGTCGTCGCATTGCGCCGTCACCCGCGCCTTGCTCTGCTCGATTGTTGCTCCGTTGCGGCTTCTGAAGTCCCAGTCGCATCGATCTGCAGTGCATTTGCAACCCCCTTGCACCGCGTACGAGGCACAGCAGAACACCTCGTCCCTCTGTGTTTCCTTTGGTAGGTCTTGGCTCTTTCAGCTACTCTCTAGCACAGTCGATCTCTGTCACATCCCCAGATGGATGTATCCCCTCCATCTTGCTATAAACCGGGGGGAGACGCCCGAACCCATGTTCATCTCCCCCACCCCAGCTCTCGTCTTTCCCCGGGCTATCTGGCTATCTCTCTATCTTGCCTCGCCTGGCCACCCATCCCCCATCCCGCCCATCCAATCTCCGTTCCCGTCTGCCCCGAGGAGCTTTTATCGGCTTCCTTCCGTTGGCTGCCCGCCTTAGCTCGTCCGAACTAGGAACTAACAAGACCCAGTGGCTTCACCCAAGCTCAGAGATCTACGTCCCGCGTCGGCCGTTTAAGACTGTGCCGCATCCCCAGTCTTTGAAAGCTTCGTCTCTTGACTGTTTGCTTTTGCCAACTCCACCTGTTCGCGTTGAATAGGTCTTGTTCGAGTCATTGTACATCAAATCTTTGTTCTTTGTCGTTACTTGAATCTTCATCATGGGTTGGATGGAAAATACCAACCACAAGATCGCGGCTAGCGCCGTCGGTCGTTGGTTCCAGCTTGAGGGCTCAGGTCATGTAAGTCGCTCTTGGCAATCCTTAAAAACCATGGTATTTTTTGCTAACGCTAGGGTCAATTAGCCTCGCGAGCGCAAGGGCTCTCTCTTCTTCACTGAGATCCGAGCCGGCCTTGCCACCTTCTTTGCCATGGCCTACATTATTGCCGTGAACTCCTCCATCGTCTCCGAATCCGGCGGCACTTGTGTGTGCAACACCTTCGATGATGCCGGATTGTGTGTGCCCGATGACGACTATCGCCTATGTGTTGCGGGAATCAAGCGTGACGCTGTCACCGCTACTGCTGCTATTTCCGCCCTCGCGTCTTTCTTCATGGGTCTCTGCGCCAATCTGTAAGTTCCAACGCTTGTCTTGTTACCCCGACCAAATACTAACACCATGTTTACAGTCCTGTCGGCCTCGCTCCTGGCATGGGTATGTCGAAACTCCAATCACGCAACCTTGTCCCTTGCGAGCCTTGTTGTCTAAGTTTGGGTGCTAATACTTCCAAGGTTTGAACGCGTATTTCACCTATACTGTCGGTAAGTGCTTAGCCATCTAACCCCTCAGCTTCGACAAAACATCTAACAAGTCTAATTAGTTGGTCCCAACGGAAATGGTCCGGTCCCCTATGAAGTCGCCCTTACAGCTATCTTCATTGAGGGCTTCATTTTCTTCGGTCTTGCCCTCTTTGGTATGCGACAGTGGCTTGCTCGTGCTATTCCTCGCTGCATCAAGCTTGCCACCAGTGTCGGTATCGGTCTCTTCCTTACCCTCATTGGTCTGACCTACAGCGAGGGTATCGGTCTGATCGTGGGTGCCACTTCGACGCCAATGGAGCTTGCAGGCTGCCCCGAGGATACCAAGGTCGACGGAGTGTGCCCTTCCTCGCACAAGATGCGAAATCCCACAATGTGGATTGGTATCTTCTGTGGCGGTATCTTTACCGTGTTGCTCATGCTGTACCGCGTCAAGGGCGCTGTCATTGCCGGAATCCTCCTTGTCAGCATCATCTCCTGGCCTCGAGACACTCCTGTCACTTACTTCCCCTACGACGCCCTAGGCAGTGATAGGTTTGACTTCTTCAAGAAGGTGGTGGACTTCCATCAGATCGAAAACACCCTCAACGTCCTCAAGTTCGACATTTCGGGTTACGGTGGCCAGTTTGGACTCGCCCTCATCACCTTCTTGTATGTCGACATTCTGGACTGCACGGGTACTCTTTACGGCATGGCCCGTTTCGCCAACGTCGTCGAC